GGAGACAGAATGATATAGAGGCATATATTATATAATAAAAGAGAAGTAAGAGACAGAGGGAGGCATATCAGCATCAGCTTCAGCAACAGCAGCAGGAGCACTATCAGCAGCAGCAGCAGCATCACCACCAGCATCAGCAGCAGCACCACCACCAGCATCAGCAGCACCACCACCGCCAGCATCAGCAGCAGCACCAGCAGCACCAGCAACATCAGCAGGAGCAGCAAGGTTAATATCGACCCGCCTGCCGCACCACCCAAACGGGGACTGCCAGTCTCTTTTGCTGATGCTGATTATGACGTTGATGATGACACGAATGCGCTGTAGGCTGCTTGCCGCATCAAGGCAATTCTAAGAGAGCCACTCCGTAAACGGCGAGCAGCAAAAATTAAACACATGACACAGCAGCAGCAGCAACAACAACAACAGTGGCAGTAGCAGCAACAGTGCCAATAGCAGCAGCAACAGCAGTGGCAGCAGCAGCTACAACGGCAGTGGCAGCAGCAGCAGTAGCAAGGGCAGCAGCACCAGCAGCAGCAGCAGCAAAAGCAACAGCAACAGCAGTGGGAGCAGCAGAAGAAACCGGAGGGATGGGGCAGCAGCATACAAAAAACAAAAAGACGGGGAGAGCAAAAAGTAAGAGACAGACAAAGAGGAGAAAGGAGAAACAAGCTGATACGCATTCGCTCGTCATCTTATTCTTGTTTTTTTCTTCACCTTCTCCGGTGTCCTGCAAACACCCCCATAAACCCTAAACCCTAAGCGCAAGACCCTAGTCGACTGGTGATAGGAGTGCCGTCTTGGCTTTAGGGTTTAGTCGTTAACGGCTCCCCGAGGGCCCCTTCAAAGGTCCGTTGAGGGCCCCCAATGCTTTCGGCGACATCTCCCATTTTTGGGAGTCCCCTACGGTGTACTTCGAGCCCCCCTCTGCCCTTGGGGGCCTAGCTGTCGCATGGGGCCCGCTATGGCCTTGTGTGGGGGGGGGCGCTGTGGCATTCGATTCCCCGTTTTGGTGGTGTCGGCCTCCGATGTGCCTAATGGGGGCTCGAAAGACATTGGGGTCTGTCTGTGGCTATGGGGGTCCCCTGTGGCATTGGAGGGCCCCCAAAGGGTGTGGGGACCCCTAAGGCGGCAGTGCGTTGTTGGCAGCCCCCTCTGGTGATTGCAGTCTTGTGCTGTTGACGGGGCCCCAATGTCTGGGCCTGATGCTTTTATGGAGGCCTCTCCATCTCCCCTAAGAAGCAGCAGCAGCTGCTGTAGGAGCAGCAGCAGCAGCAGCAGCAGGCACTGGAAGGTGTGCGACCCCCAACAAGAAGACAACGCAGATAAAGAGGCACCAAAGGGCCCGAAGGTGTTGCGGCTTCGGTTGATGCCCTTGCCGTTGTTGTTGCTGTTGCTGTTCGCTGGACAGAAGCAAGACGAGATTCACCAAGCTGCAGTTGCTTCCCCTCCGTAGCAGAAGGGCGGAGGTGGAAGGAACTCCCGATTGACGTGTTTTGCTGCTCCTGCTGGTGCCGATACTGCTGTTGCGACTGCTGCTGCAGAAGGCATTTTTCGTTTGAAATGACTGCGGAGGTATTAGGGGCCAACGACCCGCCGTAGTAACAAAGGCACGAGCAAGTTGCTGCTGCAGCGCGATGTACAGACAGACGACAGCAAGCAGCAACAGCAGCAGCAGAAGGCGATGGAGACACAGCGACATCTGCTTTAACTGATGGCATTTCCTGCCGCCTTCAGACATGCGAGTACCTGGAGCCACATCTACTCGCCATCCGCGGTGAGCTTATTCAAAGCACACACAGCGGAAGGACAGCTGTCCTATATAAAAAGTTAGAAAAAACGGTGGTATTCGGTTAACATTGCAAAAGGCAATGCAAAGCGCAACGGAGCAGTGCCAGACACGTAACTCCACTCGGCTGCCTGAGCGGAAGAAACAGAGAAATATGCACTGCGTAAAGACTACGCACCAATAACTCTACAGAACAAACGTTGCGTATGGCTCGCGCGACGAGACAGTAATGCTGGGGCCAAATCCACATCGGCGCAAACAATGCCCGAATATAAGCGTTTCCTCTTACCAGAAATGCTTACTAAGAGAAGGCAACGGGAAAGAGATATTCGCCAATGCAAAGCGTGCTCAGACGCACTTTTGAAATTTACACAGAATTTTGCAATAACGGCCGTTTAGACGCGGAAGTGCATGCTGCACCATCATGTTATTTTATGTGAGTAACAATGAAATCTAGGAAATATGGACAGCTATACGTCAGTGCCTCCCGAGTGTTCAGAAGCCTGTTTTAATACCGCGCTGAGTTATGAATATCAGTGCGTGCCTTTTCGATTCCCCGTATAATCTGAGCGAAGCGCTCGTTCTCAATCAGAGTCAACGCTCTCAAGGATAACTGCAGCATCCTTTCTATGATTTCAGGTATATCTTCAACATTTTTAGCGTCTTTCAGCATTGCCTTGTCAGAGTCGAATCGGTTTTTCAGCTCTCGTATTTCATTCCATGCCCCTGATGAAGGGTCGAATGGATACATGAGTGCATCGCTAAGTGTTCTTTCATACGTCTCAATTTCCTTTGATAATTCATGCAAACATTGAAATCTTAGCAACAGAAGTCCTGTCTTTGCTTTCCTCTCAACCGCCGTAGTCCTAAGTTTCGTTCTCTTATCCAGTCCAGATGATCCAAATGTTTCGTTATCTAGTTTGTACTTTTTCACCTTCCTCGCCGCCTCTACCGTCTCCTGCGCTCTCAACCAATAATCCCTCGCCAAAGCTTCAATTCCGCGCCATTGTTCGAGAAACAATTTCTTCACAGCATCTGCGGCAACATTCTCAGCGGTCACAGCACCCTCTACCTGCTCACCAGTACTGGTCTTTATCTTAGTTGACAGTTTTTGCAGTAGCGCTTTGCCGCTAGCCACAACAATATCTTCAGGTTTGCCGCCAATCTGTGCATAAGCCTCATGCGCAGAGCGCCAGAATTCTTCGCTGTCGCCGATGGCAGTCTCAGCAATTTTCGCAATGGCCTCAGCCGCAGCGTTGGCCTCTTCCTTGCTGAGCGGCTGGCGCTTCAGAGCTAAATTCAGCTTATCCTTTTGCACTCCCAGTATGGATTTGAGCCTTTCGTTAACTAGTTTCGCGCGTTCGTACGCAGCTTTAACAGCCTCGACTTCCTTCGCACCATCCATACCTTGAACATCCTTATATTGCCGCTGAAACAAATCTTTTACGGCTTGCATGTCTTCATTTGTTATTCCAGAAGCGGTTTGCCCCGCAGATGCTGGGCGATTTTTTGACAATAACACATGAAGTTCCTGTATCAAATTTGTATCCATCTCGAGCGGTATGCGAACCAACTGCAGCTTTCCCATCATCCAAACCTTGTGAGCTTGTAGTATATATTTCTTCAGTGCACTGTCCAGAGCAGACAAACGTTGCAAGGCTTTCATCCTGAAGTTCATGGCAGCAACGGCTGCGTAAGCTTTGACAAAATCATCTGCTCCGCACTCGTCTACGAACTCTAATGACTGCAGGATTCTAAGCTGGTCCTCAATCTCATGTTTCAGAGTTATTGAATCATTTCCCACCCGAGACAGCGTCGAGAGAGATATTTTGAACGCTGTCGAAGCCATCATATCCGCCAGAGCTGTCTGCAAACCCTCGGCGTCCGAAAAAAAAATATTCTCAGAACAGTACGCATGCACCTGCTCACCGTGGAATTTTGCAAGACCTACCAACTCCACTAGAGCATCGCGGGCTCCTCCAATGGATGCTTCCATTTTGCTGACGGTCTCACTCCGAATGAGTGGAAGGTTTGGATCCATGCAGCCCTTTGCAACATTGTACTCCCTTTCCGCCTTTTCAGCTGTGTCCACTTTTTCCTTTAATACATCGAGAATTGATCGTGCCTCATTTCCTGGCAATTCATCTACCAGCATGGCCGCAACATTAACCAGATTGGTGATGACGTTTTGCCGAGCCCTTAATTCTTGCAGATCATTATCTTCGTGGATGTACGCGACTGGTATGGGTCCGTGGTATTCGTGGGGCGGCAAAGTGACAACGGCTGGAGGGACAGAAGGCTCCATGTACTCAGCTTCGGGCACACCTGGCGCTGGACCTGGCGCTGGTTGTTCCGGAAGCTGTGGCAAGGTAGGCTGTGGTGGAGTAGGCTCTACAGGTAGTGGCTGAGTCACTTGTTGGGCGTGTTCTTCTGCTGCCGCTTCCTCTTCCTCTTCAATACCTGGTTGCGCCTGGGGAAGGGCCGCGGGAGGAGGCCCCGCCTTCCGGACAAACTCCTTTCCGGTCCTCCTAGCACGAGTTATCGGCCTTTGCATGAATCCTTCATCTGGTATTCCATCGCCACCAGGCTCCTCCGGTTGTTTCTCCGGTGGAACTTCCGCTTTTGGTTTACGCCGCGGTAGCGGCACGGGAATTTGTGCCATAGGCATTTGGGGCAGGGGTATTTCTTTCGCAGGTTCCTCTGGCTGCAAAAATACCTGCTCCGGTGAAGGTTCTTCTTCCTGCACAGGCTTTCCTCCTTCTCGTGCTTCTTCTGCTTTTCTTGCTTCTTCTGCTTCTTTTCCTTCTTCCCCTTCCGGTTGGAGTTCCTCTCGGGGAGGTTTAACTTCTTCTTCCGCCTTCTTTTTGCGCTCTCTCTCCCTGCGAAGTACAACTCCCCTTAGTAATATTAAGAAGATCACAGTGAAAGCAATTACGTGGCATCGATTCTCTGTAAGGTGTAAACTCGCCAGC